AACACAGGGATTTTCGAACATAAGAAATAACTTTCGAAATGTCACTTTTAACCACGAGTTAAATTTAACTCGGCAAACGGTTCACAGCCTAAATGGAACACAACCTTAGACCAACAATCAATACGAAACTAACGATTTTAAATTGGCTCACCACTTTAGTAGCCTATTGGTCCCAAGCAAACGATTAACGTACCCTATTCTAGTTGAAATTCTATTACTACACTATGTTTGTTTTGATTCGCTATGAAAGTTTGACAGATAACATCAGGGGTGTGTGGATTCATGCAGAACATGCAGGGGTGAGTGAAATAGCTTGGGACTGCTTGGGACCGTTGTTCTGGTACTGAGTGAGCCAAAAATAATAATGATTTTCTTCGGGACCCAGTGGTCTTAGAGTTACCTCTATGCTTAGACTGTGTTCAATTTTTCTGAATTTTTACTTAAATTTGACATTTCGAAAATAAATTATAATGTTCGAAAATCTCTCTGTTGTTGATCATGTGATTTTTGAGAAGAAATTTGTCAAAAATGATTCCTGGTGTGGCAGAAATAGGGTTACCATATGGTATCCTAAAGGAGGACATGTCCTCCTTTTTCAATAGTTTTTCTACACGGTTAGAAAAAAGTACCCAAAATTAAGTTCTTTTCACTCATCTCGGCACTATAGTGCAGGAACCCAAAAGTAGGTAAAGCGGGTCAAAGTAATTTTCATTTACTTGTGTGCAGTTCGTATGGAATTTTCCACTGGATTTTTAACCAAAAGTATGTTAGTTGTACCCAACAGTAGGTAAATATGATTATACTCAACGTTGGGTTCCCACACTTTACTACCCCTGTTGGGTGGTTTTGCTCCTCCGTTTTTGACAACATTAGAAGGAGAAAAGGAGACAAACTAGTCAAAAGTAGGTAAAAGTGAACTTTCCGTTGGGTACTTTTTTCTTACCGTGTACATCCTCCTTTTGCCCGAAAATGTCATCCTTTTAAATCCTTGTATTTTTGCCAGTAACAGATTCATAAAATTGTTTTCAAAGACCGTTGTTTGCAGAGCTTATTTTTTTAATTATGTCGCAACGTCATCTTATCTATCAAATGCCATTAGATGGTAGGGTAGGACTAAGCTCGGGACTAAGAGTATACTACAGCTGTCATCCCCCTACATTTAGGCTGCGATCCATTTGGTGATTATTTTCAAAGTGTCAGTGAAAATTCATCAAATGGAACACAGTCTGTGCTCCATTTTTCTGAATGTTTACATAAATTTGATGTTTCGAAAATAAATTAAAATGTTCGAAAATCTGTCTGTTGTTGACCGTGTGATTTTCGAGGTGTTTGTCAAAATTGATTCCTAGACTGAAAATTTTTTATCTGTAAAATTTAAGCTAAAATTCATCAAATGAATTCAACATGTGTTCGATTTTGACGTTCTGGTACTATGGTATTTTCGGTATTTTTGTTTAGGCCGCTACCATACTAAGAGCGAAGAGGCACGCAAATCGTGAAATCGAATGTAAGGAATAATATCAATAATAGGAACTCTTTTGTATAGAACGCTAAGCGCGCCTCTTCGCTCCTACTATGGCAGCGGCCTTCACTTTTGTGCTGAATCAATTGTAAAATTAGCAGGTTGCTTAGATGTTCCATGAACATGGTAAAAATTGGGATGATTCTAAGGCTGTGAACCATTTGGCGAGTTAAATTTAACTCGTGGTTAAAAGTGACATTTCGAAAGTTATTATCAATGTTCGAAAATCCCTGTGCTGTCGATCGACCGGTTTTCGAAAAGAACTCAACCACGATTGTCAAAATTTAACTTCTTGTCTGTCAGAAATAACCACGCTCGGATAGCAGGGTTAATCGATAACTTTCCATCTGTCAAATTTTAACCAAAAGTTAAAAAAAATCTACCAAATGGTTCAGAGCCTAAGGCTGTAAAGCTGTAGTTTTCATGCAAATCAGCTAGACTAGATCATTAACAAGTATCAAAAATTTATTATGAAGGCTAGTTTGATACATTTTTCAAAAGTATAACGAGAAGATGAATTGAATTGGTAAATACTACAATTTATGAACAATCTCAATTGAACCTTTGCAAATCATGAATTTTGTGATAGTGCACATATTATTAAAACGATTGATAAAAACTCAGTGTCCTCCTTTAATGTTAAGAATGGGAATCATTGTCCTCCTTAATCTCCAAGCTTCAAATGAAATGTCCTCCTTTTCAAGTTTTTAATATAGTAACCCTAGGCAGAAATAAGTCTGGTACAATAACAGGTTTGAAAATTTTATATCTGTCAAATTGAAGTTAAAAAATCACCAAATGAAATACAGCCACACAGATAGAATCCAACATGCGTTCGATTTTGACGTTCTGGTTCTATGGGTATTTCAAGCAGAACTATACAAATCGACGTATCTGATTTTGTAAACAATCACTTCAATCGACGATTTGTGGCAACTGCAAGCTCACTCACAGAAACTAACAACACCAGCTAGTAGGGGAAAGATTTATCTACCTGATGGTGGTCTTTGTTTGCGTGGGTGAGTTAGCAGTTAAGAAAAATCGGCGATTGAAGAGATTGTTTACAAAAGCATTTTTCGTCGATTTGAATAGTTATGCTTGATTTGGCCGCTGTCATACTGAGAGCGAAGAGGCACGTGAAGCGTGAAGTCGAATGTAAGGAATGATATCAATAATAGGAATTATTTTGTATATAACGCTAAGCTATAGCTATAGGCTGTCTTGCAATGAGCACTCATACATTTAGTTTTCACTGGAAATCCAATGTATGAGTGATCATTGCAAGACAGCCTATATTACATGATATAATCCATAGTCTGTACGGGGTATTAGCGTATTAGAGTCCTATGCTGAATCAATGGTAAAATAAACAGGTTGCTTAGATGTTCCATGTTGGTTTCAATCAGCGATGACATGTATACTGATTTTTGTTCATGATAAAAGTTGGAATGGTTTTAAGGCTGTAAAGCTGCAGTTTTCATGCAAATCAGCTGGACTAGATCATTTCCAAGTATCAAACATGAATTGTGAAGGCTAGTTTGATGCATTTTTCAGAAGTACAAAGAGAAGATGAATTGAATTGATAACGACCACAAGTTATGAACAATATCAATTCATAATATCAAATTGATACCTTCGCAAATCATGAATTTTGTGATAGCGCACATATTATTAAAACGTATGATAAAAACTCATTGTCCTCCTTTAATGTTAAGAAAAGTAATCATTATCCTCCTTAATTAAACGAAATGTCCTCCTTTTCAAGTTTTCGATATGGTAAACCTAACTGAACTGACATTTGAAATCTACAGAAAACCGAAAAAATACGAGTTACCTGCCAAACACTTCCAACCATTCTCACGAACATAAAGCGGCATGATGTTTATTGATGAATTTACGTTACGGTCGACCAGCAGATGGAAATGATGAGAAAATGATAATGACGTTTTGCTACCTGTCAAATCGTATGGAATAATTTTTGGTACATCATAACTTTTGTGGTTTTGGATTTCAAACCTAAGTGTTTCATGCACTAGTGCAGTTTCGCGTAGATTCTTCAAAATATGCCTCAAGAAAATCCCACCGACCTCGGCTGGGGAACCCGACCCATTGGGGTTAAAGCCCTACAGTAAAAGTATGGACGACTGTCACCACAAAACTGAAAAAAGCTGTTCCAATCGAGCAAAGCGGTGCATTTTGACGGTCCGATTGGAACAACTTTCGACAGACGTCCATACTTTTACTGTAGGGCTTTAAGCAGTCACGCTCACTACACCACCGGCGCAGGATTTTGAAGCACTTCCACAGTATGTACACTGAAGTCTTTTTTTACACGGTGTTTTTACGCGGTTTTTTTTTTACACGGTTTTTTTTACACGGTTTTCCACGATTTACACGGTACGTTTTTAACGATTTCTCGACAACGATACCACCTATCGACTTGATTCCAATCACATTATCCGTTTCAAGCTTTTTGTAATCGAATGGCATACTTAAAAAAAATCACAATTTTTGGTGTAAATACAGAAATTTTTAAAATATGTCTATATGGACCATGTCATGCTTTAATAACAAATGGCATCAAAATCCGATTTTTTAAAAACATTTAAGCATGCGAAAAATCAAAATCTCGTAGGTTTTTTTACACGGTTTTTTTTTACACGGACCGTATCCCCCGTGTAAAAAAATACCTGAGTGTAATTGATCGCTTTTTCTATGTCAGAGATGTCGAGAAAATTTCCTCGACCGGACCCGGGAATCGGACCCGCCGCTTCCGACTTGATAATACCAACAATCAATACGAAACTAACGATTTTAAATTGGCTCACCACTTTAGTAGCCTATTGGTCCCAAGCAAACGATTAACGTACCCTATTCTAGTTGAAATTCTATTACTACACTATGTTTGTTTTGATTCGCTATGAAAGTTTGACAGATAACATCAGGGGTGTGTGGATTCATGCAGAACATGCAGGGGTGAGTGAAATAGCTTGGGACTGCTTGGGACCGTTGTTCTGGTACTGAGTGAGCCAAAAATAATAATGATTTTCTTCGGGACCCAGTGGTCTTAGAGTTACCTCTATGATAATACCGTGCCTTTTCTGACAAGGTATTAGAGGAACTATTTGACCCTACCTCTAATTTGCATGTGTTTCACTGCTCAGCCCATCGTTGTCATTCTGCATCACTATCATTACATCTAGCAACATTCCCGCCACGAGATGTCTCTGCCTACGCGACATTCATACTCTTTTCCACTAGTCATTCTCTCCAGTGTACAGTTCTCTCAATTCACGAAAAAATCCTCTCTGTTTTCGTCGTATCTCTTCACCACCCAACACCTCCCTGTATGCCTTCCTTCCACATCGACCATGAACCAAGAGGTTTCTGTTTTGCCTTTCTCTCAAAATCCAGTTCCATCTCCACCGCACCGCACTGTCCGCCTTCATTCCCATCGTACATCTCCGCACACACGGTTCTCAGCCAGTCAGTCAGTACCAGCCGTACACTGCAACGTAATACATTGACCACAAAGATACTCCCACGGCAAGAGAAGAAAAAATGTGATCCTTCCCAGCCGGACCTGAGGGAAAGCTGAAATGCACCAAATAGCTGCAACAACGTAAAGCATCGAGTGTGTGTTGTTTTAGTGCGATCGGTTTTTAGAGCGTTGATTTAATTTGCATACTACAAAAGCACACGCACCTCTTCTGTGTCTGCTGTCGCTTGTTCTGAGTCGGAAAAGTTGTAAGAGTGGTCCGTCTGTGGATCCCGTGGCACACTTCCAATGGCGTCTTCCCACTATGGTAGCACCAGTTCGCCGGCGGCTTCGATGTTCAAGTCCCCGCCAACGGCCCTGCAGCTGCTGCTGGAGGAAATCAACTTTCAGCGGACCAAGGAGATGCGACAGCTGCTGAAAGATGGTAAGAGATATTCAAATTTTCACAAAAGCATGATGGCCGGCGAATATCGATTTTTCCCGCTGGTTGTGTCATGTCCTGCTGAATGGGTGGTGGTTGGGTGGGTTGGTGTGACAGCTGGAAAAACTGCCTCCTGGGAGAAAGAGAGCAAAGGGATACCGATGGGAGCAAAAGTGACCATCTCGCAGATTCTCCGTCAGCTGATCTTTGTTTACTACGTCCATTATTGGCGCGGTACGTATGGCGTATTATGAATGACTCTTGTTATGAGTCCGAAGAGGGTTCAAGAAGCGAGAGCAATGGCTAAGACGCAATCGTCATAACCAGAGCTGAGCACTCAAACCGCTAAGCGCTAAATCATACTGCGGGAAATCATTATGTTTTCTAATGTTAGTTATTTCAGATTGAGACAAATTTGTTTAGGGGACGGTGGGGTTAGACGGCAACACTTTAGATTATTGAAACAAACAACTCTTCCATTCAAAGTGTTTTTTATGTTACTTCATACGCGAAGTTTGCGATTTTCAGAGTTGGTTGGAAATGCTATCTAACGTGAAGCTTTAGTGTGATAATTTATTAGCTAGAGAATGGTCTTAGAAGAGGGTAGGTAGATAGTTCTGTTAAAGTACGGCAGTATGAAAATTGAGTAGAAGTTGAAAATGAGCGAAGGGCCATTAATGCGACAGTACAAGTCAAACGCACACTTCTTTGCCTAACCCATACGATGTACGCGAAGATTTGAAGTATGACTTCAAATCTACAGCAATTTTGCCGAAGACAGTAACCGTTGCCACTGTTGAATAGCCTAGTATCAAAGGTACTTCTGTGCATAAATCTGTATTAATCTTAAATTGTGTACGTTAAAAAAAATAATGATTTCCGAAAGCATGATATAGCCGTTCGCACTTTATGTGCCCACTTCTGATCATAACAATAATAATCAACAAGAAGCAACTTTGAGTGCTTCGACTTGTGGCAAAACCGACTGCGTTGCTTATGCTTTGCTTGAGTTGAACTTGTACACAACGACGATTAGCAGACGACTCTACTGCGACGTGCTGTGTGTACATATGTATTTATACAACTACTGCTGTTTGCTATTGCATTATTCATCTTCGTGGTGAAGTCATTCTTTACTGCAGCAGCAGTGGATGTCATTAGTTTATTGGCATACAAATGGAACAAGAGGGGAACCACTGCAATTACCTACATGACAATTCAAATTTGTACAATACATGTATGAGCAAAAGAGTTGACGGTTGGACGTTCTCGTTTTGAACAGGTTTGTTCTTAAAGTTATCGGAGATTTTTACAATCATACTCATCTTTTACTTAGAACCACAAAAATGCATACTGGTTTGTAGCCGGGCAAAGCCTTTCAAATGCAAGGTGCTGCTTTCCTCATTTATAAGTCTGAAGGTCTCCAGGTATTAAAAACGAACTTATTGTGACTCTTTAAACTTACCTCATATCGAATCGATGCATAAATCATCACATACACAAGTTTTGTATAGTGGTAGCACCTTGAAAATTGTCTTGTGAGGGTTTTTTACAAAAATATTGATTCAGGAAAAAGTCCACTTACGTTTTTTTTTTTATTCGTTTCTATGTGTCAGTGCTTTTACTATCATTGATGCTGTAGTGGTTAAGTGTACATCACGCACTACCGCAACTACAGTAAACATAGCTGCTAGACTTCGTTTTCATTAGATCAAATATGTAACACTTAATTTAAAAAAAAATGAATCAGGTGTGTAGTATGTAGTAATTTACTATGTTTTAGTTTTTAATACGGATGAACGGAGTTTTCAACAATCTTCCCAAGGAAACATACGCTTTTGTGTATGCAGACGACATTGTCTTGGTAGTAGTTAGCAGCACCGTGAAGGCTATCCGCAGAAAATTAAAAGCAGCCACGAACGCTGTCTTACGGTGGACTAAATCCGTTGGATTCCAGCTTTCGGTGGAAAAATGTGCTTATTCTCACATCTGTCCGATGAACCACCATGTACTCCGATCTCCAATCAGCATTGATGAAAGAATCATGCCCTTCAAGAGGTCTATCCGCATTCTCGGCCTACGACTTGATAGGCATCTAAACTTTGTCGACCACTTTAATGAGGTGAAAAAGAGCTGCCAAACGAGGATTGATTTACTCCGAACACTAGCCAAAAGTCAACCGTGCTATTCGTATGCGTGTAGCAAAATCGGTAGTTGATTTCAGACTGACCTACGGTTTAGAATTGACTTGCCTGGCTGCTGATAGGTTGGATAGGTAGGATCCAGTGTATTATCAGGCCATTAGGGTCACATCAGGTCTCCTCTCATCCACCCCCAGGTTGGCAGCCTGCGTGCAGAGTGGAAGGCTACCTTTTGAAAAGTACATAGTTGCATCTGTTTGCAAGAAAGCGATTGGCTTTGCAGAAAAGACTACAAGGACAAGTGACGGAGTGTCCCTCCTCATGGAGGCGAACGATCTCCTGAATAATACCGCCAACCTGGAGCTCCCCCCTGTAGCCAGGGTCCACTGGTGTGGAGCCAGAGGTTGGAACTCACCCGGTCTGTCCATCGATCCGGTGATAAAGAACAGCTTCCGGGCGGGAACCAAATCCCCTGCGCTAGTGAGAACAGTAGCGGAATTACATCGAACCAAATACAACAATCATCAAGTACGATACACCGACGGATCCCGAAGTGGCGGTAGAGTTGGTATTGGAATTTCCGATCCGGAGCTGTGCACCTTTTACCGACTATCAGACCCCTGTAGCGTTGGGGCATGAAGTAGTTCGCCTCCTCGTGGTGTGTCCAGGAAACGTTAATTATCGAACCCAAGGGAGAGATATTGCGGCTAAACGAACTACCACAGAGTAAGGACGCTGGAACCCCATCCAGCTCGTCCCAGGAAGTTGATAAGCCCTGCACAAACCCTCGTTGTGCAAAGGCAGGAGTGACACCGGGTTCTTAGAGTGCTTAGCACACGCAGCTGATAAGCGGTCACATCTGTCCTGTTTGGCCCTGGACAGTTGGCTGGCTATCACGTCTGCTCTAGAACTCAGGCAAACAACTAACAGCGATCAACAAGAGGAAGGCCCTGCACAGCTGCTCACTGTGCAGTAGCGAGTGACACGTCTGACACAACACTTAGTGATGCGCCATAGCGCAACCGGCCCCCTCCCATGACGCAATGCTTTCGGGCGGTTCCGGGGAGGGTAAGGTTTAGTGGGTCGGGAGTGCTCCTTCTCCCATCCCCACACCCTGAGTTATCTTCTCAGGTGTCTGGGAGCAGATTCCCCCCTGTATAAAAAAAAGACCCCTGCAGCGTTTTCACTGCTGAAGCAGCCGCCATTCAGCGTTTTCACTGCTGAAGCAGCCGCCCTACCCTCCAACAAACCGATCGTCATATTCTCCGATTCTGCCAGTGTTTTAGCAGCTCTTCAGTCTGAAACAGCTAAACACACCTGGATCCAGAGTATCCAGCAGTTCGCTCCTAAGGAAACAACCATTGTCTGGGTCCCCGGACACTATGGGATCAGAGGTAATGAGGAAGCCGACCTCCTGGTGGCACCCGGAAGATAGTCCAACTTTTACACCAGAAAGGTCCCGGCCCAGGACATAAAGCGGTGGATCACAATCACTATATGGAACTGCTGGACTAACGAATGGATGCGATCTCGAGACTTATTTATCCGGAAGGTAAAAGGGAATACCAGGAAATGGGAGGATCCACGGGAACACCGACTTCAAGTTATTCTATCCCGGTTGAGAACCGACCATACACACAAAGAAAAACCGTTGCTAAAATTAAAAATACCATTGGTAGAATTGAAAGTTTGCATTGGTTCTTTTTGGTAGAAAGCGGTTAGCAACAAAAATCAGCTAACTGTCAATTCAAAAGTTCCTCGCATGCTACTTTTGAAAGTTGAAACTTTCAAAACGAATTGTGGAACTGTCAAATGAAAAACATGATAGTATTATAATTAAAAGTGGATTATTTTTGTATCAAATCAATCTTTTGTCATGAAAGTTTGGTAAAGTTGTAATAACATGTGCCGTTTTGAATCTATAATAAAAATATTTTCAATTAAAATACAAGCATTTTCAACATTGCAATATTAATTTTCATTTTAAATTCTAATAAATATTTATTCAATCGATAGTAACAAATGTTTCATAAATTAAAAAAGGACTACAACTATATTTATTACTACTATCCACATGAATACAAATATAATAATTATGCTGGGTTTCGGAAGACATCATCCGCAGGTTTTCAGTGAGTAGAAAATCGTTGTCATCGTATTGCGATATCACAAAGTTGCAGGTGGATTTTTTCGGCTGACTGTTGATTCGGATTTATTCATTGGTAGATTTCATCGTCTGAAAAAAAAATCTAAATAACTTCACACAATAACATTGATAATTAAATACTTACAATTTTAACTAATGATGTCACAATGAATTCCGTAACCGACAATCTCGCCGACAATAGTAAAAATATTGCCTGAAATATCCAGCGGATTTAATGTTGATTTTCAGTTTCATTCCAAACAAGGAACATGATTTGCGACTTTTGACGTTAAGGTTAAATTTAGCGGCAAATGCTGCCAGTGCTGCCAAAAACGTTGCTATGACAAGGTATTTTTGACAGTTAAACAATTTTCATTTTAAAAATATGCGCTTTTAAAAGTACAAGTCAAAAGTGAAAAATACACTTTCAAACCAAACCAAATACTTTTGTTTTAAAAACTTTCATGGTTAAAACTATCAAAGCTGGGAAACTTTTATTTTGAAAACGCATGATTTTTATTGATAAATTTTTTGTTTTTTGTGTGTACCAAAGTCCGCCACAACATAGGAGGCGGAGGCGGATTCAGACAACAATGTGAAACGTGCAATGTTCCACTTACAGTGGAGCATTCCTTATGTGAATGCCCCCAGTACCACGGGCCCCGTTCCCTTTACGGGATATCAGGCAGCATCAGGGATACCCCGAGGGATGACCC